CCACTTCCAGTTCCAGGTCTGTGTGATTCATTCCAGGAAGGGTTCAATCCATGCTCTAGAGCCCAACCTCCAGGAGCCCCAAAAATAGAAACTGCAGGGAACTGGCCAACGTTGGAGCCAGAGTTCTAAAAGCAGGGTCCCTTCTGGCCCTGAGTGGTTCTTGTGTCTCCCACACGCATGGCTCCATCTTAATTACTTTTTACTTTGTGCAAAGAGCACGTAAGTTGGCTGTTCTCTTCACGTGGCAGGCCTGCGGGGGATGGGGGAGAGAGCTGGTAAGCACTCACTGCCGCGGGCTGGGGGCTGGCGGCTCTTACCTTCAAGGCATCTATACAGGCTGTAACAGACAGCCTGGCCCTGCAGGTCCTTTTCCCTGGAGATGCTCGGGGCTATAGAGAGGCTGTGTGGTGTGCAAGCAGCTCTACATTTATTTAGCCGGCTTGGGGGAGGGGCAGACCCCTGCAGGAGGAAGTACCGGTTTATCTCTGCCCAGGACCGAGAGGAGCCTGTCAAAGTGGCCATTTGGCGGTGGGGAGGGTTTTTTTTTACCGGGTACAAGAAAGAACCTGTTCTCCTTCAAGCTGTTGTGCAAATAATTAACAATCTGATGTTTTGAAGGGGACGTAAACAGAGCCCGATTCAATAGGAAAGAGAAATTCTCACCCCCTGCAAATGTGTGAAAGAAAGAGAACATTTATACCTAAACACACGGTTCTCTTGGGCCCCACTGCTTTCCCAGCATCTTGCCAAGCTAAGGGGGCCCTCTCATTAAGTTTTCTTTCCTCCCATTAAATCTTTATTTTCTAATTGTAAACATGTGTATCTTGGTAACAAATTCAGACAGTAGAGACCTGTGCATGTGGAATGCTGGAGCACTGAGCGGTGGAGGGTTTGGGGGCTCGGTCTCCCAGAGCCGCTGCTCACTGGCTGCTGGACCGCTCCGAGCCCCGTTCCCTCATCTGTAAGGCAGGGGTGATGATCATGGTATCTCGGAGGGTGGAGTTAGGGTCAGGCTTACATTTCTGTGAGGAACTCAGCCAGGACTCCACCTCTTGAAAGCATTCACTCGGTATCTGTCAGCTGTTACTGTCATGGTGGTGCCACTGAAGTTCAGGGGGTAGTCACCTCTGTCCCCACAGTTAGGCGTCTGGCTTCCACTTGGACAGAGGGAGAATCACGCTTTCACACCTCCTTCCCAGACATCTCATCCCGTTTACAGGAGGGGCTTCTCCCGTTAAAGCATCTGTCGTCTCTGCAGGGGGCTGGCCCTGGCCCAGTACCCTCCTCTCGCAGCCCTGTTCATGGAGGGAGTGTAGTGGGCGGGGCTCTGTCCACAATCCTACATAAATTGCCCCTGGGAGCGCTTCCTCCTGCTACAAGAGGCCGCACCTCGGAATCAGGGACGACAGGACAGCACCGGCAGAGGAGCACTGAATCATGACATTAGGATGCTGATAGTGAGGTGATGCTAGTGACGACTCTCCTAGGCCCTGTCCTGGAGGCTGGGTCAGGACGCCTGTTTTACAGGGTAGGACACGGAGCCTGGGGGCAGAGCATCAGCATCTCAGACTCAGAGAGGGCAGTGACTGGCCTAAGGTCACACAGCTCCTGTAGACCCCCGGTTCCTCCCAGCCACTCCCACGCCCACCGCCTTCCTTCTGTGCTTGTGAGGAGTTACAGCAACAGGCACTGGGATAAGAAAAGTCAATTTGTGAAAGCTCCATTCAGGAGATTTAGAAACCTGAAATGGAAGCACTCCACGTAGACGTGACCTCTAAATGCGGAGTCTGCCTGACCCTGCCCCCCGGTGTCCCCTGATCCACACCGTAGCCACTCCTAGGTCCTCCTGCTTTATGGACTTCCTTCTTTCCCTGAGTGTTTTGAGATAGCTTTTTTTCTTAAGTCACTAGGCAGCTTTGGGGGCAAAACCTAATGCATTTGGGACAATTTTCTGGGAGGTGCTGCTCCAGGCACAGTGTAACACAGAGCCTCCCCCGAGCCAGAGCCCTGTCCCGGCCGCCCCTCCAGCCCCGTGGGAGAGGTTGCAGGAGAGCAAGCCGCAGCCTGGGTGCCGCTGGGGGGCGGCGGCGCCAAGCAGAGGCAGAGGGACCCTCCGCTTTTCTTTCCTCCTTTGAGTTCTCCTCCTGAAATAGTTTTGAGCTTGCAGGAAGGCTGCAGAGCAGGAGATGCGACGAGCATCCTCCACCAGACGTGAAGCTTCCCCCGCAGTTGTTTTCTTTGTCTGCCTGCTCGCGTGTTAATGATCCCTGGCTGAGCTCTTTGAGGATTAAGTTGCAGAAATGATGGCCCTTGGCCACAAACACTTCAGTGTGTTTCCTAAAACTGAGGACCCTCTCTTACAAAAATCCAGCCCAATGATCAAAATTAGAAAACTCGACATTGGCCCCCTACTGTCACCTCCTAGACAGTTGTCTTTCTTTTGACCATTTTATTGTTTTTCCAACTGACACAAAAGTATGTGATGAACTTCCATCTCCCAGCTGCAGCAGTGGACAGCACCCTGTGCCCTCCCCCTCACTGTTGTTTTTCTGGAGTATTGTACAGCAGAGTCCTTCATCACATCATCGTCAGTGAGGACTTTAGCATAAATCGTTTTACAAACCGTGGGGTGGGATGTCGTAAAATCTATTGGGTGGGCTGTGACCAACACTTACCCAGGACCAAATGGAAGAGAGCAAACTGTAAACTCAGAGTGCACTACACGCAGCGTCTGTACGGTTGTGATGTTAAGGGTGGCCATCGGGTCCTGGGTTTTATCTGTTGATGGTCCTGACCTCTGAGCTCTAGACCCCTTGGCAGGAGACCCAGGCTGGGTGGGGTCGGGCAGGGTCAGGGAGAGAGAGAGAGCTAAGCTGAGGTTGGAAACATGGGCTTCGAATCCTGACCTCACCACCTGCTGCCCATAGGACATTTTTGCTGGTTAACTGACTTCTTGGTGCCCGTTTTCCCATCAGCAAAGTGGGGATAGAATGGTCCAGTCTCAACGGGCTGTTGTAGGGATTAAGTGATCGTGAGTCTCTGTGAAGGAGCTCAGAAGGCTGCTGGGCACACACGGATGCTCAGGAGAGGCGCCCATTACTCCCCCAGGCCTGGTCTGGGGCTCTCTTTCTGCAGCGCCAGCATTCCCCACCTTTCCCCTGAGGGAGGACACACTTTCCCTGGCATCTCATCGTGCACATTAGAACATTAGAATCCCCTCCCCAGGGGCTTTTGAAAATCCCAGTGCCAGGCCGCACCCCAGGCCAGTTACCCGGAATCTCTAGGGGAGGGGCCCGGGCGTCAGTTTTTTTTCTTCAGGTGCCCAGGCTCCTAGTTTCCGGCCCAGAGCAGAGCTGCTCCCACTTTGACCAGCACGTGGATCTCCAGGGGCTTTGTTAAATGTCTAGCCTGGCTCAGTGCAGCCAGGTGTGCCTGGGTGCTGCACTGGGGGTGCTGCGGCTCCTGGGGGTGCTGTGGCTGCTGGCAGTGAGGGCCTGGGGAGCCCCGGCCCGCATGGGCCCCTCTGGAATAAAGACGCTCCTGTGTGCGCTCAGAGTAGCTTCTCAACTGCGGAACCAGGCTCTGTCCAGCTCAGTTCTGACCCTTCTGTGGCTCTTGCTGCCTGGACTGCCCACCCCCTGGTTCCTCCCGTGGGCCACGCCCCTCTTGTGTACATTCTGTTCCTGAGACCTGGGAGGCTGTTTCCTACTTGGTCCACACCTGCCTGTCTTCAGGGACATGGTCCTTAGGCCTCCCAGGCTGGGGCAGGAACCCTGCTCTGTCCTCCTGACCTCAGTCGGCTCCCCCTGGGCTCACCACACCTCTGTCAGCTGCCCCCCCCCTCATCTGAACAGCCTGTATCAGGCACAGGGCCCCATTTGGCCCTATACCCACCTGTGTTGGGTCTTCTGGGACCAGATGCCAGCATAGGAGGTGTGCAAGAAGTGTATTAAGGGAAGTAGGGATGGGGGCTGGGAGGTCTGTGCCCAAGGAATGGCAGAGGCAGAGAAGGCAGGAGCGGGGGGCATCCGAGGTCCCTTGGCAAACCAGAGTTGGCCATCGGGGCGCTTGTGTCTCCCAGTATTGACCTGCCTTAGATCCCAGCCTCCATGCAGGATGAAAAAACTTGCAAGGGTGGGGCTCCCATTCCATCACACCCACGTCAGAGGTCTGGGGGTGCTGCCTGTGGCTGTCCCCACCCCCTCACCCACCAGCCTGGCACACTGGTTCTCTCAGGAGTGAGGGGATCCCTGCCCGCAGCCTCTCAGAGACCCAAGGACCCTCCGAGGTGGAAATAAGGGCCTGCAGAGCCTCTGGGGTGGGCCGCAGCCAGGGGTCAGGGCAGTCCTGGGTTGGAATCCCAGCTCCATTCCTTGTAGTCAGCTGGGTGGCCTCAGGCAGCTGCCACCACCCTCTGAGCTTTGATTTCCTCCTCTGTAAAGTGGGGACGGTGATAGCACCTCCTAGCACTGTAACTGAGGATGGAGAGTCAGGCGTGCCCTCAGGGGCCGCCTGTTTTATACGTCAGCAACTCAGTGTGCAGGAGCCATCACCTTGCAGGAAGAGCATGGGAACGCTGCCTGGGAACACTTTAACACCCATGGACCAGGGGCTGGGTTCCCTTCCTGTGTTAGATCTCCAAAGAGCCTGCATTTTGGAAGAGGGACAGCATTATAACAGAAGGTGTGCCCATCATAAGGGCTCAGGGCCCCTCCACAGCCCGCCCAAGGGTCCTCTTTTCCCTGAAAGAAAGGCAGGTGGTCCTGGTTCTGCCTCATCGGCCCTGGCCAAGCCATCACCTGTAACTTCACTGGCTTGGCCGCCGCACTGGGCCTCCTCCGATATGTTCAGCTTTGAGGAGGTGCCTGAAAGTGTTTTCTATCAGCACACACCTGTCTGTGAGCAAATTCAGCCCAGATGTAGTCAGTGGGCGCCATCAGGTCGCGGTTTCTCTCCGCCACTACTTCCTGTTGTGCACCCCTCAGTCCGGCGGTGGGGGCCTGGCCGTGTGCGGCCCATACAAAACAAGCCTCTCCTCTCTCCGCAGACTGCAGAGGCACCGACATGGGGCTTAAGCTGACCTGCCTGAAAGGTAAGCGCTGGCTCTTCCCCTCCAGCTCTTGTGGGGGGTGGGGCAGGGGCGTGGAGGGGAGGGAGGGAGGGAGGCAGGAGTCAGGGGAGACCCAGAGTCCCCAGTGTTGCTGCCTCAGGGTGGGGAGAGGAGACCACCACTGAAGGCAGCACCTGTATACAGTAGGCTGTGTGTAAGTGCGTGTTCTGACTGAGCATTCCTCCAGGGTTTCCCTTTCACTGGAGTCGGGTGATGGGGGAACGTCACCACGCCCCTCACACCTCGGTTTCCCCTGCGGAGGGATTGCTCCCAGGCTGTGCAGAGTAAGGGGGTGAGAGGCTGCGGAGGAAGGTTCCAGGCACACACGGAAGTGTTCGCTCTCCGCCCCGAGGGCCTGCTATCACCAAGGCAGGCAGTCCTGCCTGCCTGCCGGGTGCTGGGGAAGGAGGACTGGGAGAAGGGAAGGCCACTGGGAGAGAGTTCCACAAGGACACAGAGTCACTGAGGGTGCTGTAGGTGGTGGCCGAGGTAGCCCTGACCTCTGTCTTGTGCTCCGGACCTTTCTGTCCAGCATCTGAAGACCTGGGGACATCCTAGACCAAGATGGCCCGCACAGACCCCTCGCCCTCCAAGCCCATCATTCAGTGACAAATGCTCCCACCCAGCATCTCCCCAGCCTGGAATCTGGGAGTCGCCCTGTTAACCCTCGCCCACGTGCAGCGTGCCCCCCAGCTCTGACTCCCCACCTGCCTGTCTCAGGCCGGCCCCAACTCCATCCCTCTGCCACAGGCAGTCAGGAGGTACCTGGGATGAGGGACCAGCCTTCAGGTCCCCTCGCCAGGATGAGGGAACGCCAGGAGAGAGTCTGGTTGGCCCTCAGAGGGGGTGGGGCGTCTTGATGGACAGCTCCTCCAGGGTGGGAAGCAGTGGTTCCCCTGGAGGAGTGGGAGGAGGTGTTTGTTGAGCAGGTGGGCGTCCAGGAGGGTTAGGGGCCTGTGGTTGGGTCCAGAGCCCCAGACCTTCCCTTAGCTCAAGGACTGACTTCCCTTAGACTTTGCTGTAGAATCTCCCTACAGAATAGGCATTCAGGACAAGCTTTTTTTTTTTTTTTGGTTTTTAGTTGTAATAAAGCAGACATAATGTAAAATTTGTCATCTTGACCATTTTAAGTGTACAATCCAGTGGCATTAAGTACATTCACATTGTTGTGTAACCATCACCACCATCCGTCTCCAAAACTTTTCCATCTTCTCTGACTGAAACTCTGTCCCCAGTAGACGCTCACTCAGCCTTCTCCTCCCCTGGTCCTGACACCCACCACCCACTTTCTGTCTCTGAATTTGCCTCCTCTGGGTGCCTCGTATAAGTGGAATTATAATGGCTTCTGTCCTTTTGTGTCTGACTTACTCAGTGTAATGTTCTCAAGGTTCGTCCATGTTGTAGCAGGTGTCAGAATAGTCTTCCTTCTTTTATTTTCTTGAGGTATTTTATTGAAGTATAGTTGGTTCACTATGTTAATTTCTGGTGTACAGCAACGTGATTCACTTATACATATATATATCTATTATTTTTCAGATTCTTCTTTATTATAGGCTATTATGAGGCAGTGAATATAGTTCCTTGTGCTCTACAGTAGGACCTTGCTGTTTATCTGTTAGACTACCCTTCCTTTTCATGGCTGAATAGTATTCCACCGTGCATGTAGACCACATTTGGTCTATCCATTTACCCCTCAACCGACACTGGGCTGCTTCCACATTTGGCTGTTGTGTCAGGACGTCTTTAACAAACCAAGATCCTGGAGGGACCCGTTGGGCCACTTTCCTTCCCTTTCAAGACTGAGGGCTCGGCCAGGGGAGGAGACCCAGGAGCTGTAGGTGCTGAGAGTCCCTGGGAGACCTCCGTGCCCCGCCCCTGCCCCCACACCTGCAGGACTGATGCCCAGGCAGCAGGCTGAGTGCTGCTGGGCTGGGAGCTTTTAGAACGACCACCTTCAGGCCCTGGAGGAGCTGAGTGCTGGGTTGGGTGTGGGGCCTGAGGCACCTAGCCAGGGAGCGCATGCATTTTTTATTGCTGGCTTTCTGGGGTCGGCCCACCGCCCTCTCCCACCCCCAGCCACCCCAGCCTTGGTCTCTGGAGGGGATGAAGTCAGCACAGGCTTGGGTGTGACTCAGGGCATGGGTGGGGGGCGGGGGCACAGAACCCCTCACTGCTCTCCCTGTGCTTAGCCGGGAGGACTCAGGCCCACCAGCCCAGAGGTCCTGCATCCTCCTCTGCTGAGCCTTGTTTTTTCGGGATTTGCCACAGACGGGAAGTGGTGGAGGGATGGACCGCTGCGCCCCGTGATGGTCACTGTCCACGTCCCGTCCCTCGCTGCCCGGTGCTTTCACCTGTCGGCGCTGGGCGGTGCAGTTCTGTGCGCTGCCTTGTGTTTTTTTGTATTTAGCGTGAGGGTGCGAGCGCTGCACGTCTCCGGGCAGAAGCCCCTCCTCGGTTCCTTAAGGCCTCTATTCCGTTCCGCCAAGAGTCGGGCTTTGGACTGTTCACCACATGGAGCTTTTGTGGATACTGCCATTTCGAACATCTTTGCTTTCTGATTTTTAAAAATTATTTCTTTGGGATAAATTCCAGAAATCGGAATGACCTGGTCCAATAATAAGGACAGGTGGTGAACTCTCACTGGGGAGTTCACCTGGGCCAGGCCTGGTTTCGGGCATTCTGAGCTGGTCCACTCATCCATCCCTCCTCCCACCATGAAGTGGGTGCTTTGGGGGTTCCTGGTTTCCAGAGGAGGAGGCTGAGGCACAGAGAGGCAGTGCAGTTGCCTGGGGCCACACAACTGGGACTCAGGATGGGTGTGAACCCAGGCAGGGCGATCCCAGAGGCCTCGCTCCTGTCACCGCTGGTGTGGCCTCTTTAGAGGAAAACATTTTAATTCAACCTTTGAAGTAACCGCGGTAGCCAGGAGCTTGGTTTATGTGATCTCTTAAAGTCTTCCCATTAACCTGTAAGATGGTGTTTTAGTTTCCTGGGGCCACTGTATCAAATGATCACAAACTGGGGGGCTTAAAACCACGGAAATCTTTTTTCTCTCCATTCTAGAGGCCAGAAGTCTGGAATCAGATTGTCAGCAGGGCCAGGCTCCCTCTGGGAGCTCTTGGGGAGGGCCCCCACGGGGAGGGCCCCCACCCCCGCCTCTTCCAGCTCCTGTGGCTCCAGGAAGACATAGCAGTCTCCTTTGTCTTCTGAAGATGCCAGTCTTTGGACTTAGAGCCCATCTTAAATCCAGGGTGATCACATCCCAGGATCCTTAGCTCATTATATCTGCAAAGACCTTATTTCCAAATGAGGCCATATTTTGAAGTTCCGGGTGGATGTGGACTTGGGGGGGGCTTAAGGTGAAGTCCCTTCACCTCGGAGCCTCCTGCGCGTGAGATGAGAAGGCTCCTCTCTCTCCTGCTGCCTGTCTGCCAGTGCAGTGTCAGCCCCAGGCGGGAAATCACGACAGTGTAACACTGGGGGGAGGACCACAGCTGTGCTGAAACCCTTTTGTTTCTGGTTCCAAGGGAGGGTGGGCACAGGGGTGCACTTTAAGTGGGGTCCTTGCGCTCACGGGCCTGGCAGTAGCAGCTGTGACCTGTGGGACTGTCCACTGTCCAGAGAGCATCTCCCTCATGCCTTCCCGTGTGAAGGTGGGCGTGTGCTGGCGTCCCTGTGATCCAGGCCCTGCTCCCTAAGCCACATCCCCTGAGTCACTCATCTCATCCTCACGAAAGCTGGGCAGCGGAGGTAACTTCACAGGAGCGGAGACCGAGGCGCAGGGAGCGCCCACTGGCTCCATGCCCCACTGCCGGTCAGGAGGGCCTTGGCTCGGTGCACGGCAGGGAGGGCACATGGTCTCCCTGATTCGTGAGCACTTTCTGTCCCTGTTAGCAGTGGTGGCCCTGCCCAGGGAACAGCACGGTGGGGCTGTGTGGTTCTCAGTGGGCAGGGGTCCCCGGACCTGCAGCCTCCACATTACCTGAGAACCAGACAGATACTGAGAATTCTCGGGACCCACCCAGACCTGCTGAGTCAGAAACTCTGGGGGTTTTTAAGAAATCCCCTTTGGGGGATTCTGGGGCTCAAGGTTGAGAACCACTAGTGAAGTAGCTCTGGAATTAGAGATCCGGGTTCAAATACCAGTTCAGCCCCTAACCAACTACAACCTTGTGCAGGATCACTTCCCTGCCCAAACCCGTCTGTGAAATGGAGTGATGAGTGGCACCATCTCCTGGGCCAAGTTTCAAGAATGATGAGCACTAGAGACGGTGCCCTGGGTTTCCTGGCCCTTGGTGCCTTGCCCATCCGGAGGCAGCCCCAGCCGTGTGGGGACCCTAGCAGGGGAAAGTTCAGCTGGAGGTGTGAGCTTTCCCACTGCAGCCACCTCAGGGCCCTGGTGTGGTCTCTGGGAGTCCCCAGAGGATGCTAGCTCCAGCCCCTGCCAATTCCAGCATCACCATGGAGACAGGATCCTGCAGATGGGTCCAGGTGAGAACTGCAGGGGCCAGATGCGGGACAGGGAACTGGGGTTTACACCAGCGTGATGGGAGGCCCCCACAGAAGGGAGGGGCAAAGGTGTTCATTTGGCTAATACATTTTGAGCATACCTTAGGGGTTTCATGCATTTGAAGGGAAGGTCCCATGGTGGGACCAAAGACAAATTTCTTAATTTACTGAGCCTTAGTGTGCCCATCCGTGGAACGGGCAGGGGCTTCCTGCCCATGGAGATCCTGGGGAGGGGAGGGTCCCTCACCTCACTGCCAGCTTGGGACCAGCAGGGCAGCATGATTCCTGACCCCGCGGAGCCTGAGAGTGAGAGGAAAGGGAGGTTAATCCTGTGTGTGCCGTGGTTAGGGACCACGACTCCTCTCCCACCTGCTGGGAGACTTGAGGCCCTCCCTCCCTCCTTCGGGAGGACAGCAGGTGCTGGGTTTAGCTTAAGCCTGACAAGGGGCTAAATCCCTGCAGAGAGCCTGGGG